ATCAACGAACAAACATAAACAGTCAGATAGTACAACAAAAGTAATTTGAATCGGAACACCAAGAACATCAAAATGAAGTTCATCTATTTTGTTCAGTTATCGAAATTAATGACATTTGAGTAGCATTTCTCCGTAGTAAATAGTTTTGAATTGAGAGAACACTGTTCCATTGAAATGAGCGACTTTTCGAAAATGATTTCGTATGTGTATTGTCTGTTAGATGTTGACGCTTTTTTTCGTTAGCCAAAAGCTTTTAAAATCAACGTTTCAGAAGTGAAATATTCTTCTCAGTTGGTTGGATTGAGACATTCATCACATCGTTGAAATAATAATACGGATCAGTGATACTCCAATTTAATTGTATCAAAGCAAAGTAATTCTGTGTTGAAATATGTTTATTGAAAGAAACGAACATTCATCAAGTAGATATACAAACACAAATCTCTTTTGCTTTCATTACTTTAGAGAAATTTTTAGCTGTCAGAAGTTATTATAATCTAATTGTTGGTGATGAAAGTATGTATTAATAAAATGATTGCTGGGTCATTTGTTAAATATTAGCACTTACACCATCATTCATTGTATTCACGCACACTTTGTTTGTTCAATTCGCTTAATTGAATTCATTTCAAAAACTGACTGAATTAATGAAGTGTAATGACTCCGGAAAATCCGGAAAAATCTCTAACAAACACTGATATGTCTATGTGTTGCAGAAACAACTCAAATACCAAGTGCTATTTGTGTGCGAACACTCCGCAACTCATGTCATCTGTGCTTAGGGTCCATTTTTTCATGGATAGTTGAAGAGAATATTGTGATAGTGTGAATATCTTTCCAACTATCAGATCTAATTTTGAGCCTGATGAATGATTGTCTCAATATGTAAATGTCGGTGGAACAAAGCCCCGAAAACTCATCACCTGACATCCATTTTAAAGAATGCATGCATGTTTCATTTAAACGACGTCCACTAAATTGTAATTATTAACAGTTAAACTGAAGAAAGCATTTGAGATAAAACAGTGAATATCTGCTCGAATCTGATCACTGTGAGTAGGCACCTACAGATTCACATCTAACAATGACATGCCCACCACTCATTCCTCAGATTTTAAATATCAATCGTCCCCTGTTTTCAGGTGTTACATCCAAGGTAACCACTGTGATGCATTCTAATGGGAAGATATCTTTCTATTATGGGAACGTAAGTTACACAAATGATTGCAAATATTGTTTTGTTTCGGGTACTTTAAACTATTCTACTAGTTCGTGCATAACAATAATGTCGAATGCATCAATATACACTGAACACGACAGAACGGGGTCAAAATTTTGTGATGTGCACACAAACTACGTAAAACTAATAATAATTAATTGGTGACATAATTTATTCTGGCACGATTTTAAAACAGTGGACAATAAGAAGTGATGTGATATCCATGGAAACACTTTCGTCTTCGCGCCGATTAAAAATGCACAAAGAATGTGGAAGTACTGTACGGAAACAGTTGTATTCCACCAAACCTCACCACATCTTCTGATAATCAGCTGCTATGAAAAGCTTTTCTGGAATATTCTGGTTAATTTATTGATGAACACTGATCGCTTCTCAGTGTGTAAATATTCGGTTTCCAATCTTTGATATTCGCAATTCAATAGATGTTGGATAAGTATAAATAGATCGTGAGATGAAAGATTTCGTGTGTGCTGAACTGAATTATGTTTTAATGTTTCGAGGTAATCAGGACACATTATGGGAAGAATCCTCTTGAGAAACCAACAGTAATGAATTGAATTTAGCACATCAACACAATTTCACTACATTTCAACACATTTACATACAGCAACATTGTAGTTATTCACAATCGCATTACTATAAACGGACGTAGATATCCATCTCACAGTGTATCGCCTTATCCCGTGACAAAAAGATATTTAATCTAAATTTACTGAGGTTGACAACTGAATTGAATCACAATAGCTTAGTAGACTAGATGAAGCGTAGTTCTCAGGGGACTGTGTAGATCGGAATGCTTACTACGATTGTGATTAGTTGCTTTTGTGAAAGATAATGTGAGTGACGACATATCGCTTCGATGATTAGTTGGTTTTGATGTAGGTAGTTGTGTGTTGACAGATTTTTACTTAGACTTCCATTGCTTCTTTTCAGATTCCTAAGCAAACTGGTAAAGTACATTCAATATTGATCTTTGACGGTAAAATTCAGTGTGGAAAAAAAGGTAACAAATGTTATTTATATTCTATTTCAAACTGATCTACATCAAATATAATCTGTTTGCCTTATGTTACTACCTTCTTGTACGCTATCATCATTTTCTCAACACAGATATTTGCTATAATCTGTCATATTCATGTAATACACCTTTCTTACAGTCTACAGTAATCGCTTGTTACGTGTGTAAAATAAATTGACCAAAATATCATTAAATTGTCAAGGAAAATTATGAAAAAATTAAATCCGAGTGCGTTTTGTTAACTCGCGTCGCTGTTTTTTGAAAATTCAACGAAAATGAGGTGTTTGGACATCTTGATACAAGACTTTAGTATCAGATGTCATAGATTCACGATCAAAGCTCATCCTGAAAATATCTAGTGTTTGTGATGAAGTCTTTGGAACAATAGACAGATGAAATTTTCCGGATTGAAATCAAAGCATCTGTGTCCTCGATTAAATAACTTCATCCATTTTGGTATAATGTAGCAGATTTGAATGAACTTCACGATCCACGTCTGCTAACGCTTGCCCAACCAGGTATACTGAGTGATATAACCAAGATGTGTGAATATCGTCATCGTACAAGAGCGGATGGATATTTGCAGAAGTCTTCAGTATATGTCTAACGATTGACTGATCCAGACAAGAATATATGAACGATGATATTAGATAGCCGATATATCTACTCATTTATTCACTCGCTCACTCACTCAGTAATCCATCGACCAATTTTTCAGTCTATATTCATATCACTGCACAATGCAAAACGAAGTGTTCTTTTATCGTACGGGACCGATTGTTGTTTTATACAACGCTCATACGTCATGCTACACTGACATGATCGTATGTTGTTGAAAGATGGAGTTGAGTTCAAAGACATGGATTGAGTGTAAGTGATTATGTTGGATATAATGTTTTATGAGTGAATATGAGAAAATGCATTAAATATTTCGTCAAGAGGTACGTGATGATCAGTTGAAATGTATTAGTGAGTCTCAATGTTGACTCATGGTGAAATAATTTGTAACGAGTTGACCATGTCTTTCTAAAGGTGTTTCACTGACAAACTTGTTAAATAATTTAGAAATTTAAACATGTTTAATTGACACTCTAGAAATGATAAAATGTTTCATTCGTATTGGTTGAACAATGGTCACTTTTGAAACAAAAAGCACGTTTTGCGAGAATGTTGTTTGACTGTCATTTTATCCGTAATCGCAAATTAAGCAGTTTTCTATTTTGATCACTCCTTGAACGAGCAAACAACCTGTTGTAGTTAAAATGGAAATCAAAATTTCGAATATTTTCTGTGCATTTCATCTTATTAGATGGGACAAAAAGAATTGTTCCTGGTGAGTGGATCAAAAGTGGAACATTGGTGGAGTACGAAGTTTCCGGAGGTATGTTAAACCTTATTATATCGGAGTTAACTATCTTCACACATAAACTCACCACTTGTGTTTCATTAAATTGGAAATTTCTTATGTAAATTCACAAGTTGATATCCACACATGAGTCTCAACTGACGTTAAACTGCACGTCGATTCGCTGTTGAATGATCAATATTATGGAGGATGGATATTGAACTACTATAGACGTCATCACTTCGATGAACTTTACTCAAACAAAATGTCACAAAACTATGAATGAGATGATAAAAGTCATCTAATTGATTGTGCATGGACTTAAAAGTTTCCATTGTTTTTATACAAGATACATGGAATTCTGAATATATGTGAAATGTTTAAATCTCAGAAACACTCCATGCAATGGAAATCACCTTGAAAACAAAAACTTAATTTTCGAAATCTATACATTATCCTACTCATCCGACAAATCGAAAGAATAGACAAACGAAGTGTTCAGATTTCAGTTTATCATATGCAGTAGATACTGATAAAATATCACAAATGCTGACAATTTTCATGGTTTCAAAGTGTTTCATTTCTCCTGAATATGTACAGTGAAATGTGCATGACATTGAAAATGTACTAAATTTCGCATTGTGCAATGTGATGATACATTTCCAGTGGATGGAACAGTCACACAACTCAAAAATCACCATAATAACATTGGTTTATGGTTACAGGTTTTTTAATACACTTATCGTTTGTTTGATCAATTGAAATGCAAACGCTTTATTCTTTTCACTGAAGATTGTCCAAAACACAATACGATTAAAACATGTAAAGATGCAACAACATTGAAAACAACGTGTATGTGGTGTGAAATAGCCAACACATGCATTACGAGCAATGACATGGATAGTCATGAATTCAAAGTAAATGGTTGTCAGAATAAAGTAAGTAATTGGTAGACTTCACTGGTTGTTTTCAATATTACCATATTCTACATCGTAAATCTATTTAGTCGAAGGGATGTTTTATTTCAAAGAAATAGACATTGCTTTGTATACTTCACGTCATGTATAAATCAAAGCATTGTATACGTTGGCAAAATTTAGTCAGATATGAGTACAACGCTTCGTTTACATGTGAACATTCAACTCGGAATAAAAGCGTTGTTCAACACTGATATCTGAAAACATGGTAATTTTTCATCTCACAGAATGTGTAGTGTCAAATCGGTATCAGATATTCTAACTTATTATTCAATAATCACGTTGTGCAAATGTAAACTGTGTAACTATTAGTTCAATAATACTCTTTCTTCAATACCGACAATAGTGAATAATGAATGATGAATTATTTGATTCATATATGATAGTTAGTAATAATGCCACTGTTTTTTTGTTCTCCAGAATAGCCCGAATATCAACGTGTCAATTGAACCATCACTTACCATAGAAGAAGAAACAACTTCAGACACTACTAAATCTGACATGGGAAATGAACTGGAGATAACTACTGAAAACACTGAAACTCATTTGGTAAATATTTGATATTTGGTATAATTGCCACTGTTTTTTCTTCAGACGATCTCAAATGTCAACGTTCCGAGTAAACAAACACCTATCGAATATGAAGAAACAACTTCCGGACTAACTAAATCTGATGTAAGAAATGAATTAGAGTTAGCTAATCAAAACTATGACACACGTTTCGTAAATATTTGATATTGAGTAATTATTGTACTGTTTCTTTTTTTCAGAATATGACTACACAGATGACTGAAGATAGAGAGTACACAAAGTCCCGCAATTACTCATATATTGTCATACCTGTGGTTGTCAGTTTCATTGTTGTATGTACTGGCTGTGTCATAGGGCTATGGATTTACAGAAAAAAGAAAGCTTTGCCATAGTTCTGATGGATAGCTTTTATTGGAACCACATATCATGTTCTTGATTGTTTTCATAATAACTGATGTATTTTGTTAATAAAATATAAAATATGGTTTATTGTACTTATGTGATCGATCTCATTCAATAATAACTGATTGGTTTTAAATGAGTTAACAAACTTGCACTCGTAAAGTAACGGTGTCGTGTATACGTGATTTTGTAATGATTGGAATCAACAATCATTCCGTTGTGAATGTCCAGTTTGATGAAGTCTCACTACTGAAAAATATCGCTTGAAATTGACAACGTTGATTGTTTGAAACTGAACGGTCGACATACCTCATCAATAGTTAATAAAGCATCTCAATCATTCATTATTTGGATAATCACTGTTCAATGAAAGCTTGATGACAGACTACTGTAAATTAGGTATTAAGAGTGCCGATTATGGAATTGTTTTGGAGTTCCGTTGATATTCAAGTAGGAATGAGTAAAGATTTGGATTGAATGAACTACTATCAGTTTTGCCTCAGCACTGCAAAATACGATGACAGCTTTTAAAACAAATACACTGCAGTGTTTATGTCAATGATTGATAACATTTGTTTTCAGTTCTGTTAGTATAATTAGTGATAAAGCACTATCAATGTTTGCTATACATGAACGAAGGGATTCCAAGTTTAAAGATGGATTTATGTATACGTTTTCTAAGGAATACTCTTGTAGCTGTAACGGCCGCTTTTTGTGAACGTATAGAATTGTTTGAAGTCTTGACTCTCAACGTTTTTGGATAAACATGATGGTTTAAACAGCGAAGATTAAAAATTCGGTGGTTATACCAATTGTGCATTTTCTCTGATAATCTGATGTGATTGCTGAAAAATGATTAAAAAAGTCACAATCACTTTTGAATTACCATTCTCGAACGAACATAGGAATTTATTCGGATCTATCAAGATTATTTAATGCTTTCTGCTTTTTAATCATTGTCTCAATAAGTACATCCAACAATTCTCATTAATTATCAGTGTAGGGTTTTGGAAATTATTAATTTATTGATTGAGATCTTAAACCGTTTGATGTGAGACGACCATTGAAAACCTGGAAGCATTGGACTGCCGCTTTGTCCTATTGTGGGACTCTTCAGCAGTGCGCATCAACGATCATGCTCGCGAGGTTCTTTCGCACGGACTTCATTCTCGCGCGCTAACGCCGTGATCAGCGGAGTTAATCCGTGTTGGGTAGAGATAGGTGTATACCTCAGTACAATGGAAGATGAACGCGCAATTTTAGTGTATTGGTTGAGGTTTAGTAGATTAAGGGTTCGTGAGCTAGACTCAAGGCCGTGAGTTCGATCCACGCGAGCAGGATCATGGATGGGTCTGCTGAGCAATCCTACAATAGGACGAAACGGCCTTCCAGTTGTTCTAGGTGTTCAACGGTGGTCTAACATCAATCGGTTCATGATCTCAATCAAAAAATAATTATGTACCTAGATTTTTCACTATAATTTAATACGTTTGGTCGAGACAATGCTAAAGTACGTGAACTTGGCAAAAGCTGTTTTAATGATAATATTTCCTACTATTTAGAATTACTTGTGTCTGAATTGTGTAAAGAATAATATTTATTTTCGTTTTATCGTTTATTGGTGATTATTTTCGATGTTTGTGTTGTGATCTAGAAATTCGCTTTATTTTGGCAGTTAGTGCAAAACATTTGTGCGCCGCATAGAAGTAAATTGTGAAAAGATCCTGTCGAAAACTGATCACTCACCTTGCTTAACTCATTTACGTCTTCCAAAAATGACTTTTATCTATTATTTAATCTGGAATCGCTATGGAATTAAATGAATTAATGGATGCAAGTCAGAACATTATTCTCCATACGAGTTAGATACACTTCTGTGATGAGTACATTATCCTGTCTGGGGATGAAATGGAGTGTTGTGTGGCCGTTATGAATAGAGTACGGTAAACTATTACTAGTTTGTAAACCATCTGCAAAGAATAGGTCTTGAGTTGATTCTGTATAAGTTTTGAGAAGCGGTGTTCAGAAAAATACATTTTGTAGCTATTTTTTAAAATAGGATGTGTATTTAATTTAATTCGTTCATGCGATTATCTCTCATTTTAGAAAAACCATACTTTATGACCTCATCGTTATAAATTGAGGTGAAATTTACGGTTTACTAATACTCTATTCTCTTCAGAACATAGTTTAAGACAACATTTGACACGTAGCGTCTTTCGTTGTGTTCTTGATCAGTTCTCGAATGGAGAACATTTTAAAAGGTCATCAACTGTTTCTAGGATTAACCAAGTCTGTAGCCTAACAAAACATTTTAACACAAAACACAAGTAAACATTTAAAACGTAACTGCGAATAAAATTCTAATGTTGGAACTGAATTTTTTGTTTGAATTCATAAAAATTCTAGGTGAAAGTGTCTATTTCAACATTTTGGTTGGTTAAACAAGAACTTATGTCTAGATTTGAAAGGATAGTTTGACGACTTTTTGCAATTTGATAATAAGAGTTTTCTCTGTTTGAAAAAAATTCAGTAACACTTGTTTTTAGTTCTGTTGGTATAATTAATGATAAAGCACTATCAATGTTTGCTATACATGAACGAAGGGATTTCAAGTTTAAAGATGGATTTATGTATACGTTTTCTAAGGAATACTCTTGTAGCTGTAACGGCCGCTTTTTGTGAACGTATAGAATTGTTTGAAGTCTTGACTCTCAACGTTTTTGGATAAACATGATGGTTTAAACAGCGAAGATTAAAAATTCGGTGGTTATACCAATTGTGCATTTTCTCTGATAATCTGATGTGAATGCAGAATAACACATAAGAACTTTCGTCTAAATTTGAACGAATAGTTTCACAATATTTGCGCGCCGAGTTAATGTGAGACATTGAAGAGCACAAATGTAATTGTAAAATCTCAGCGAAAGAACTTGAAGTAAATTCGATGTTTTGCCTGACAATCTGGTCCAAGCTTTTTCAAAGAAAATATAATCACACAACAAAATTATCGAATAAAAATAGATACATGGTTCTCCGGTTTACTGTATACTGAATAAAACATCCAATCAACGTGAGCAATGATTAAAGTAGTTATTTACATTAATGTGTAAGAAACATGCGGTATGAAACGAAAAGTGTTGAGAAAAAGAAATTGTGTGTATACGTAAGTGATGTGAGAAGAAATTTCATTCAACGACATATATTGTCTTCGGTATGTGTACATTAAGAAAACACATAATTTTACATATGATATGAATCCAAATGTCACAGCATGCATTAAATAAAGAATAAAAAACAAGATTAGCAAACCAGATAAAAGACTGCATTCAAATAGGAAGAGTGTATTTGTAATTTTCCAGTCAACTGTTTAGCATATTCAGATACGATAACTGATTTGAACCGTTAAATGTATTACCTATTGATTAGTTAATATGATATTGATCGATTGAATGGAATAAGGAGTTCAGGTTTACTTATTAATTATTAGTTGCCATGGGACAGCTACTTGTATTCCATCTGTCATATCAATACTGTTTGAATTAGCCCACACATGTAGGGCTTCGGCTGTTAGTCGGTCTTTGTAAGAGTTAAAGCCTTTTTGAATGATTCTTGTGCCATTAAAATCAACTGTATGACCCGATTCAATCAAGTGTCATGCCGTCGTTGATATGTTCTCAAGTTGTTTTACATCATCTGAGGATTTAGGAATGTGCTTTAAGCACAGTTTGTGTTCCTTCATCCTCACATTTCATTGCCTTGATGTTTCACCTACATACGTTGCATTACAATCATTACTTTTGATTTCATGAACACAATTCTGTTGTTCATCTTTGAGTGTTAGATCTTTGATTCTTAATAGTCTTGATCTAAGAGTATTGTTTGTTCGAGAGAATATTCTTATATTTTGAAGAGTTAGAATCCTTCTGATCTCTTCTGAAATACCTTTACGATATGGGATCACCACTGTGTCAGTCCATTCTTTTTGCTTAATTCCTTTTTTAATAATATCATTTTGTTCTTCTTTCTTAATTATTATTTTAATAGATACCTTTTGATAATTATTCATCATTAGAGTGGATGCAATTAAATTCCTTTCCATGTTTATATCATTCGGTTCATTGACAAGTTTTTTGACTCTGGTTATCAAATTTTTGGCCACTGTCACTTTGATAGAGTGTAGGTGCGAAGAATTAAAATCTAGAAATTTCCCTGAATATGTCGGCTTTCGGAAAATACTAATTTTTACACAATCATTATCGTTCCTTTGAAGCAAGCAGTCTAGAAAAGGTAATTTTCATTTAGGAGATTCCAACTCTTTGGTGAACTTGAGTTTGTCTTTAATGTTTTTGACACGTTGAAATAGTTCGTCTAAGCCATTTCGTTTTATAATGATAAAAGTATCATCTACGTATCTTAACCAAATTTTTGGTGGAATGGAGCACATTGAGATAGCACTTGTTTCCAGTGAATGCATGAATAAGTTAGCAACAATTGGAGCAACCGGTGATCCCATAGCTACACCTTCTGTTTGTCTGTACAGATCTCCTCGAAAACTGAAAACAGTTGAATGTAAGCAAAGATCCAACGCTGTGATAATATCTGAGGGATCTAGAGGGCAACGTTGTTTAAGTTTAGTGTCAGAATCTAAGAGGTTATTGTGGTGTTTGAATGATCTTGTAGCGTGGGGTCAAGTTGAGCTTGACTATGAACACCGCTACAAGACTACGTGTCAATGAACTAATAAGATCCCCGTAGGCCAATATCAGAATACAGATGATGGCTGTAGTCGAGATGTATTTGTTGGCGAAACCGGACGTGACCATAACGACCAAGCGTATGCCAGGCGAATTCGAGACCAGATAGTCGACTGAGTGCGTTGACTAGAGCGTGGGTGGCCAAACCAGCTTTTGCCAAAGTTGACTGAAGTCAACGTTACCGAACGGGCGTTGGTCGGAGGTGTGGGCTCAAGATACAGAAAAAATCAAAAAAAGAAAAGTGTAGCATGCGTGTAGTATGGAATAATCCTACACCTTATCTGTTATTGACTGTGCGTTTAGTCGCAAAAGCGTACGGGTAATCATACTCGGCG